AAGCGCGCGGGCGTGCACAATAAAAATTCCGCCAATGAATGATAGCCATTTTGAAAAATCATTTTGATTGGACATATATTTGTGTGACAAACAATTTTCTTCGGTGGGCGTTGCATTCCCTCTTTCCCAGTAACGATGGCCGATTTGTGCTGGTGCGGGTTAACGTCGTTGATGTAGAGAATCCACACATCACTGCCTTGCCGACCACGTTTACGTCCTCCTGAAGCAGCATCGACATTGCCATTGCCGTTCAATGGATCGCCGGACCTAGGATCAGCTTTGATATTGCTGTCATCGGCGATGTCGCTTTCGATGTCGATGGCGATGGCCTCCGCCTCCACAACGATGTTGGATATGATCACAAGTGCAATGGAAACTGCCAATTGCCCACCTCTCAACTAGGAACGCAGTTCGCTCGCACCCAATCAAAACGCGATTTTCCGAATAAAACCCGATTTTGTTCGACCTCAGAAATCGGGTTTTATATTAAAACCTGAAAAAACCCGATTGCAAAAAACCAGGATCTACACTGTACCACCCTAAAAAATTTCACGAGTAATTTTCACATACAATTGGTTAGTGTATTGGATTCGGTGGCAGAGTCAACTTGGAAAAAACGTGCAAAAGTTGTACTGACGAAGATTTTGTTTTTGTCTAAATCCCACACGATCAGCGAGGGTAAAGCAAAACGAGTGTTTTTCATCTTGGCATGGGGCGAAGCGATTGGGATCAGTGTGTGCGCTTATTCTCGGATGAACCTCGATTCCAACTTTACGTGCTGCAGTGTGTGAAGTTGGCGAGACCCTGGAACCTCGGACAACTTGCCGTTCCGCGGTTTTGTGATGCCCTAGGTTCAGAACCATGCGTACCGACGGAGCGCCTGTGACGCCAAAGATGCTTCAGCTCATGGCATTGGAGTATGCAGTTGACGTTGGGCTTACCGAGTCGGAGTTTCTGGCGAGTTGGCATTGGATGCGCGGGTTCAAGAAGCGATTCAACTTGTCGACGCGCTGCAGGACCCGCCAAGGTCAGGATACGGCAGGCGACGGCGAGACGGTGCTTCGTGAGTTCTCCCAACGCGTTTGTGACTTCATGACGGCAAATGGAATTGATGTCTCTATAACGCCGATCAGACAGTCATCAACTACGAGTACTTACTAACCAGGACGATCAACCAGCGTGGTGAAAGAACCGTGTGGGTGCGGTGCGGAGGCAAGACGAAAGACCGTGCGACCGCAATGGTCATGGGGGACTCTGCTGGCAACAAGATCCCCTCTTCGGGGTACTGAAGACAGCGCAGTCGTTCAAGAGAACTTGACCATGCGCCATGATTCCGGGAAGACGTTTTGGCGACAAGTGCAGCCACTACAAGATGAGATGGGATGTCAGATTCATGGAAATCCAACCGCGTGGTGGAACAGCGGCCTGTCGATTGCCTTCTTACGATTTCACTTCGTCGAAAGGCCCGATCGAGAGTCCAAGAAGGTGCTGCTGCTTTGGGATGAAATCTCGGCGCATTTCAGCTCGGACGTTGTCGCCTACGCTCATGAATTAAATGTCGAGTTGATGAAGATACCGCCGGGATTCACCTGGGTGTGCCAGCCGGCTGACGTTTCATAGATCCGGCCTCTGAAGGCACGCTTGCGGGCGATGTGGATCGACACGATCAAGCAGCATGTGGTTGCCAGCCGAGTATGCGATGGCCCTTTCAAATTGCAGCCGCCTAATCGACATGGAATTCTGAGTTGGATCACAAAGGTATGGTCTGGCCTGCCTACCAGTGTCATATTGAGTGGCTTTTCAAAGTGCAGACTTGCGGACAATGTGACGTCGGCCAGTGACGAAGGTGAGTTAATCGTTGAAGACGACACGGTCGACGAGGAAACGATGGCATCCCTCGTTGCAAGCTGCTCCATTGATGACACCATTGATTCAGCCCAAGACATTGGTGAGGATGAATTTTGAATTTTGTAAACTTCTGTTTTGTACTGTATTTTTTGTTCAAATTTCTCCAAAACTTTATGCATCGTAAAATTTATTTCTATTGACAATTGATAATTTTGTCATGTCGTGGTCGGAAGACTTTGCCTTGAGATTTGTATGTCTAAACTGAATTAAAATAGAATTAACCTGATCGGAGCGTCGTCGGGTTGTGTCATATCACCTGTCTAAACTGGAATAAACTGGACGGTAGTAAACTTGTTGCTCCAAATACCCGCCCAAGAGGTTCAAAATTGAAAGGGGGCCATGGGGGTTCGTCCAACCACCCAATTTGCCGCCCTTGCTGCATCAAAACGATTCCCACGTTTGGATGTGGCACGAGGGTGCTTTCAACACCACCACGTGGTACCCTCATCCGACGAATCATATGCGTTATCGCCCCCACGACAACAATGGGCTTGTGGTCCGCAGGTGTTGCTGCCCGCCCTCCCTGAACATTGCAAACGAGTAACTAGATTGCCGCGCTGCAATTGGTCTCCCTTTGCCCAATACACGTTCGTCTGGGTGACTGTCTCATATAATAGGGTGCTTCGCGCTGTAAAGAGGTTTAGATGGCACCGTGCGATGCGACTGATTTCGCCAGGGCCACGTGGTTGGCACCTACCAAGTGTACTCCTTGGCCCGCAGTGTGAAAAGTAGGCACCCCCCATGGTGATCACAATTAATTGCGCATCCCGATGCCCACTCTCATTCGAACATCGGTGGAAACGACGGCTCCAGTCACCCCGGACGTTCACTGGTGCCAGCTCAGCCCCACAGAGCTCAAAACTCTCCAATCCGAGCGTGTTCCCCCAACACACCATCCCCCCTACGAAGGCCTGCCACGATGGCCGGGAGTCACGAGTGTCACGGCGATATTGCGTACTCTCGACATCGTTGGCACGTCTACGTTTGCGGCCAGCGGGTCCCTTGCCGCCGCCACGTTGGGTTGCGATATAATCGGATGCATCATGGTGGGGACTATCACCGCCGTCGGGGGCGGCACGTGGCGCGACATCATCTTACTCCACAAGCAACCGTTTTGGGTTCAAGAATGGGAATACTTGATCGTAAGCGCTGTTGTGTCTGTGTTGTTGTTTCTTACGTGGGGTCTATTGCCCGCGGGCCAAACCGTGCTGGGGACCACACTCAAGGCTGTCAACGGCGAGGCTGGTTTGCTCATGGATTGGGGGGACGCTCTCGGTATCGGCGTTGCGTCGGTGATTGGTGCGATGAATGGGATTCGATCCAACTCCCCCATGTGCATCAGCGCCCTCTGCGGCATGGTCACGGCCACGTTCGGTGGGCTCACGCGCGACGTGCTCCTCAACCGCTCCGTCCGCATCCTGTACTCCCACGCTGAAATCTACGCTATTATCGCCCTCGTGGGCGCCGCTGCATACCTCAGTCTCCAGCGGCTGGCACCGACACGGCAGGCCCTGCGGATTACCGTCTGCATTTTGCTCGTGGTTATGCTGCGACAGCAGGCGTGGACGCATGGGTGGCGAATGCCCACGTGGAACGTCAACAAAACTTTGTGAGTTAACCCAGTTCAAGTTCATTGCTACTAGCCATTGCTGCCCAACGCTACCCTTTCTTGTTCAAACACGCAGTGCGCAAGTGCTGCTGCTATGGCGTGCATCGGAAAGGATACGTTCTCCCAGTTGAATGCCATGGAGGCGAGGTGCGTTGCGTGTGGCCTCGTTAGCAGGGACCAACCACTCGGCCGCCAAGATCAACTAGAAGCGCTTTCGATACATTTGCTTGAGTCATGACGGAACGGGCCGGCCGTATGTTCCTTTCAATAAAAGCATGAATGGCGAAAGTGGTTCAACTCAAGTCCATGGAACGCAAGGTCGTTTTGCTGGCGGGGTGGTTCATGGCTATCGATGACTCATCCCACGTCAACGCCATCGACCATCGCCATGGTTCATCCTTTCGATGGCCAACTTGGTCAATTGCTGACATATCACACGACAAGAAAAATTGTTGCGACCACATTTGCGTCGATGGATTTAGCATGACTCGAGCGAGTTTTTGGAATTCAAACACCCTCTGTGTCTTGTTTGAGCATGCTCGCGCCTGACTCGTGGGCCTTGTCGCCATGGACCGGCTGTCGTTACCTTGCATCAGGAACTGGGGGGGATTGTTATGGTCCTGGTTGGTCACGATGAGATGGTCCGGTTGGCCTTGGCAGCTTCGACGCATCGCATGTGCTTGGCGGTGTACTTGCCATTCAGCTCAAAGTTGCGCTTGGCTTTGTTCCCCTTCTT